CTTTGGTGGGGTGTCTTGGTCTCCGGCACCCGATTGAATCACAAAAGTGGGGTGTCTTGGTCTCCGGCACCCGATTTGGCTGCCCTCCCCCGTTGGGACAGAAACACCCGAGTTTTCGGTCCTGCAGCTGCCACGCTGGCCCAATCCCCATGCAGCCGCCCGGATATAAACAGTTCTCATGTCCATGCCCATATAGTTTTTTCAATGCAACGAAGAAACAGGAGTTACGGACCACTGCACCACAGGTTACTATAGAGATACCACACGAACCTGCAAACATCTGCAAACAGGACAATGGCGAGGATCTTTTGGGAAACACAGTGCGATGATGTGCGATGTGTTTTTGTCCTGGCAATCCTTTTTGAACACCGTTGTTTTCTTCAGTGTTCGCCACCTGGCTCTTATGACCCCAGACCGAATGGTCTGGGATTCGATCCGCCTCTCTTCGGTGCTCCTGTCCTGTCATGAGATGCACGCTGATCCTCCGAGCCGCTCGTCGTCCCGTTTGCGCGTGAGGGTGTTCGTGTTAGCAACGGGTTTTTGGGAATGTTTTGGGGTGATGTTTGCCCCTTCCCAATTTCATGGCATGGGGGACATCTTCATGATCCTTCACAAAAAGTGACGTTGTCCCATTGTTGCTTGGCTACCTTGGCTCTTGGTCTGAAGACTTCGTCAGTACTCCTTTTTCCTTTGCCAATACACCCAGACCCACATGGATTTCGTGTTGTTTTGTTGTTTCGGTTTTGGTGAGATCATCAGGGGATCATTGGGATCCGGGATCACTGGGATCACTCAGAAAAATAACAAAACACACGGGGTGATCAGCACGGGGAAACCACGCGAAGTCGCCGAGGCGTTGGAGGTCGCGCCATGGGCAAAGGAGATGGGTGTTAACATGGGAGAAGCGCGAAGTCGCTGCTTTTCGGGAGCAGATTTGGAGATGTTGTTTGCTTGGGCAGATTCTGGCGGATTCCGGTCCTTTGCGCTCTTTGCGGGTGTTTTCTTTGGTAGACATCACACTGGAAACATCACCTGAGCTGGCCAGGAGTCGGTGGAAGCAGTCGGTGGCTCAAGTGTGGGAGAGGCCATGAACGGTAGGATTCGGGCCTTGTAGAATTGTGGCAATTTTTTTTGCGGTCATCTAGGGCCAATGTTAGGTTGCGCCTCAAGAAGTGTGAGTGGGAGAGCAGAGATAGAGGTAGAGATGTAGAGGGAGAGAAATAGAGAAAAAGAGAGAGAGAGGGAGAGAGAGAGAGAGAGGAGAGATCCATTTTTTCAGCAAACTAGTAGACTAGTTGTTGCTAGGATGTGCCCCAATGAACTTCAAGACGCTTGTGTGGTTGCGTGTTGTGATTCATCAGTGGTCAAATGTGGTTTCCCTGAGCCAAGCATTTGATGAAGGAACTGCCAGAGACAAACCATTCGGGGCAGACTCCCAGGCCCTGGGAGACTCCCGGGCCCTGGCTCGGTAGACTGGTCGATTTCTGTTCCAGGGGATCGGGACGCCTGGGAGGTCTGGCAGCCTGGGAGGTCTCCCTAATCGGATTTTTGCTTAGACCTTCACCGTCCAGCCTTTTGGGGTGACTCAGGCGGATCTCAATGCCATTCAAATTTGCCGGTCCAATGCCAATCATTCTTTCATGTGGGCTTACTCTTACTCAGTTTACTCTAAAAAGAACTCGGTGAGAACTGTGAAGGTTTGTGAAGATTATGTTTGAACCGCCTGGCCCCCGAGCCACCGCATTCCTTTCCCAAGCAGCCAGTGATAACCTGTGAGATCCACATTCAGAACTCTGAAGACCATAGTGTAATCATGTTTAATCATGTTAAGATATGTTAAGCATCGTTAAGCTATATTGTAATTTGGGAGTGCCATCATCTCCAAATTGAGTCAATTGAGTGACGTGGTTTGGGACCCCTAGTACAAGGAAATTGATTTGGTCTAGTCAGACCCACACACCCACTCTTTCCCCTCACCTACTTCAGCTCGGTTTGTCCCCTTAGAAGATATTTTTGGGAAGTCGTCCTGATTTTGGTTCGCTGAGGTTCACCCATTGGATCTCAGCCTACAGCAGCTGGCTCGACAGGATGTGATGGGGTTCGTCAAAGATTTTGTGAATCTACTTGTGTAATCCTGCAGTGGGGCATGCCGTGATGTTGTGAGATTTCTCAAGCAAAAGACATGAAAACACATAATACCTGCAGAGTCCACATGGAACCCCAGAACCACTGGGTTGGTCTTCGGAAAATGCTCGAAACCACCGGTTTTCCTTCTCAGGGTCCATGGGGCCGGGGGGTGAGCCTTGCGTGCCAGGCCGGCCTGGCAGCGGCCGAGAACGTCCGAGATCCCTTCCTGTGGCACGGTGCCAGGAGCCCAGGTGAGGCATGTCCGCGAAGTTTCTCGCCGTGTGGGGCGGGGTGGCATGATGTGGCATGGAGGTGGCGGGTGAGAGGAGCAGATGACCCGAAGCAACATGCTGCAGGGGTGAGGGATGGGGAGGGTCTACATGGGTCGACTGTGCGATTCCCCAAACGTCGGAATGGAGCATCCTGGGGCTTACAGCTACTACAGAGCATGGAGGTCGATATTTGGGACATATCATTTGAGCACATGTTTGAAAGATATGATGTCTTTCGAGCCCCAAAAGTAGTTCTACAACATAAAAGCCAGGCAAACACGCATCCACTGAAATTCAGACTTCTTCACTTACTCCCACCCTTCACTGACTTCCTTTGCAGCGGAGTCTTTGCTGCCACCGAGATCCGCCTGCGAGCGCGCAGCGCTGCTCCGGTGCTGAACCTGCGAGAAGTCGCTGTCGCTCGGAGATCTGATGGGATGAACGCGCCCACCCAAGTCGCGTCCAAAACCACCCAAATAGGTCAACCCAACCGGCACCCCGTGCCCCTCGGAGTGGAACCGTACAGTGGTTTCAGAGGTTCACTGGCACCCCAAGACGACCTGGATGGGGGTCATTATCACCACCCAGCATTGGGGTAACTTCTGCCATCTCCTCTCAATCTACTGGTACTTGGGAATTGGTGGTTTCAAGAATTTCAAAGCCTTTGTGTTTCATTCAAGCTTCGAACCACTGATCCTACTGTTCGGGTGGGCTAAAACAAACGCCCCATGTTTGCTGTAGAGCTGTGGGGAATCATAGGCATCGCTGGCTTCTTGAAAAGGCGCCATAAGAGCTGCAGGGAAATAGAGTCACTCTTTGAAACAAAAGCAAACAGGCTGACTGGTTGACCAAAGAAAAGCACATATATTATGTGACCAAACATACATATTCTGACAAATATACAGTCCGGATTTAACAGAACAGAACAGAACCCAGTCACATACCTCCTTGTTTGTCGCAGCTTCGCAGCTTCCTCCGGTGCGCTTCTGGCGCGCGCTCCACCGGTGGCTGCCGTCCGCCGCTTCACTCGGTCTCGTTCACCGGTGACCGAGGTCTTTCTGGGCAGCAGCGTGAAAGTGGGTTTGGTGGATGAACCTTTTGTGGCAGCCATGAGTGGCGAACTCAGAGGGCCGAGAGCGACCGACACATCCAGCTAGCTAGACTGACTTGACATCCAGTGTGAGAAACAGCCACTTGAATGATCTGTTTATATAATGTCTATGTGTTTAGAATGAAAGCAATGACATGGATCTTTTGGTTGCGTTAAAATGTGTTTATGCACATGTACATATATATATATAGTTTTTTTGCCATGGGCGTGGAACATGACAAATGTATGTTGCTATATGTTGCTGCTCTTCCAACTGTCAATCTCCTCTATGTTGTGTCTACGAGTTCACAAATTTGGTTATACTGATTTCATAAAAATCTGATAGTCAAATCAGTTAAGAAAACAACAACAAACTGAACTTGGCTGAGAGTGTCAGATATCAATATCTCAACACTATATAGACGTTAAAGCACTCTAGACAGAGCAAACAAACACTGGTGATGTGCATGTTTTGTCATTACGAATTGTTATGTGAAAATTACTTAATGTTATTGATTTAGTTTGTTATAGTTTTCGATATTTATTTGGTGGCGTCCACTGCTGACCATTGGCTGTGGCGTTTCACTGCGAGACTGTCTCGACCGCGTCGCACTATAGTTTTCGATATGTTGGTGACAAATGGAAGGACACCAGTGATTGTTATGTGATAACCATCGATTCTGGGGACAGTTCGTGGGAGCGGCTCCTCTTCTGGATGATGGCAGATGCTGGATCAAACCAAGCGTCTTTGTATGTCTTTGTTATGATTTACACTTGCCAAGTAGTCAGCCACTTGGTACATGTCAAAGTGGTTTAACTGGCTTTTGCTAAGGGCTTCTAGCTTATATACCAGTTGCTTTCATTGGTGTTCACGCGTGTGTGTCATTGTGTGTCCTCTTGGCACCATGCTCCGTTCTCCGCGGGAGGTTCCGCCGAATCTGGATCGCCCCGCGGTCCCCCCGGAGCAGCTTGAAGATGGCATGCATCCACAGACGGGTTCATGCACGAAGCTCCGCGGCATTCCGGTTGTCCCTCTCCAGTTCCGGGCTCCAAAGGGGCTCACGGACGTGACAAAGCCTGAAGACCAACACCTCGAGCCTGAAGAAAGACTGAGGTGGTCGCTTGGACACCTTGATCCGCTGGGGGAAGACCAACACCTCGTGGGGATGCTTAGCGGTGTCTTTTTTTGGTCGGCCGGAGGCGATCCTGTTGGTGTTGGTTGGCGCCGGGACTTCTTAGCCTTGAAATGATGCCCTTGAGGTTATGAATAAAATCATTTTGTTTGTACCCAAGTCAATATCTCAATGGGATGTTCCCTTCCTTGATAAGATCCATGAAGTCACACGAATGGTTGTTTGATGTTGTTTGTCATCGTGTTTTATTGCGGTTTCGGTGAACCCAGTTTAAGAGAAGCCCATGTCGACTGTGGCACTTGGTGCTTGCCTTTGTGCTGCGATTTTCAGGGTGTCGGACCGACATGCAGACCGTGTCGGCTCAAATCAACAGGCACCGACCTCCGATTCTCAGGCCATCCATGTTTCTTGGGCGCTGGGCGATGCGCCATTTCTTGGTGATCCTGCTTGGTGATGCTGCAATGGCAGCCTTAGACAGATGTAAGGCAGGCATGTGCTCGTATGGAAATGACACATGTACCTGGACCTTCAAGGGGTGTCCAATGGAGGTCCCTTAGTGGTGTAGGGGCTTCCATTGGTGACCCCTTTGAAGGTGCTGGTAGGTAGATTGTTGGATGATGTTGGATGTGATCAGATCAGTTGTGATCATGGCTGTGACTTTCTTTGAAAAAGCCGTGGTGTACGGAGAACCGTCCATGCACTTCGCACTGGACCGCGTCGAGCTCGACGTTTCGTTCAGGGCGACCTGGCCGGAGACAAGATTTGGATGTGTCCAGATGTGGATGTGAGGCTACATGGAATGCATGTTTCATGCATTGGCTGCATTGGGGTGCTGTTTTGTTTTTTACTTTTTTCAGTTTTGTTTGTACATATATACGCGGCTGATCGCACGTCGATGGCCATTCGCTCTTGCGGTGCGGGTGTTTGTTTGTCGAATCTGATAAATAAGGGTGATGGTGATGATGTTCCGGGCTCCAAGTTGAATCCCCAAACCTGGGGTGTGTGGTAGTATTGTTTAATGAATGTGGTGGAATGTCTTTGCATTTCCTGGACATCCAAGCCGCCTGCCGTGACCTTGTTGGGAGCGACCGGTCAACGTGACCCCAACTGGTCCAACCAGACCCATTGGTCCAACTGGTTTGGGCGGTTGGGCCGAAGGGTGGCCCCAAGGAGTTCATCCAGGTGGGAAAAAGGATGAAAACGGAAGGATGGGTTGGAGGCCATCGCTAATAGGTTGGAGGCCATCGCTAGTAGGTTCCTTAAAGTATGTATTCTTTTCAGGGTTGGGTGATTCACGTTGCAACCCACATTGCAGGGTGGCCTTCATCACGGAAGGATGGATGAACTCTTGCATCCGTGATGGTATTAATAGATCCTCTCAGGTGGCCCAAATTGATCATTAGAGCTACACTAGTATGAAATATTCATGGAAGTGGAGTTCACCACGTGTTTGTAGCGGATTTTAGGGTAATTTAAGGGGCCATGCCATCCACTTCCATGATGATCCAGGGAGTGTATGTCCTTTGTCCGCTCTCCAATAATCATTAAAATGGAAGACTATTTGTTGCAGATAGAGTCTGAATATTATACAGTAGAGGAAGCGAGTCTTCCAACAAATCATTTTCCACTTCCATGATTAATGAATAGAAGGTTTGTGTGGACACAAGCAGTTTTGTTTTTGTTTTACCAGCATGTTGATTGGTGCACGGCGTGGTTTACCAGTATGTTGAACATAGGGGGTGTCACGCACCAAGTGTTTGTCCCTGGAAATCCTATCTCCTGAGGAAACGGTTCTTGGATATCCAATAACATTCACATGTGGCAAGAGCTTAAGACGCAGGTGAACCGTTGGTGAATAGCTTCATTTTTCCTCTCGAAGTTCCTGAAGATCAATCCTAGGACTATGAGCAGCACGAACGGTCCGGATACTGTGGCCACCGAAGCCAAGCGACTCGTGACTCGCTCGTGCTTCTTGCTCAGGCAATGCTCCGTGAGCTATGCTCGAACTGGCTTCACCCCACAGTACATTCAATGCAACCTGGCCTCAGAAATCCCTGCTGTGTTCCAACACATGAAAATGATGAAAGAGAAGTTTTGCCACGGCCATGCAGTGGAAGTCCTTTGAATCCAAAGCCACACACATGGGGCTACTATAGTATCTAGAAGAATAGGAACCGCCCAAATACAACAAACATGTGGAGAGGCCATTCCAGGTGTTTGTCAGTCTTTGGCTTAGTTCAACTATGCGTCCCCACCAGTCATGCCGTCTCAAGGTGCTGGTCCCGTCTCGGTGCGTCGCCTTCGCCCAGGTGCTGTCGCTGGAAAGTCCTGTGTGGCCTTTGGACCATTATGTGAACCTCGCACTCCTCGTTGATCGTCCACTCCGCTCCTGGGTTCCGTGGGTTCCCGCAACCCGTGGGTGTCCCGAGTCTCTCGCCTCGCGGAGAGCGGTGCAGAGGTGCTGCAAGTGGCCGTCTCGCCGGTGGAAAAAGAAGAACCACCTGCACGAACGAACACCTGCACGGACGACACCGGGGCGCAAGGATGTTCAGAAAGGAAGTGAAATCAGACTCATGAAGCGTCCCCATAAGATAGGGTGTAGGCAGCCCAGGAGATTAGAACCCCAATGCAGAAGTATCCAGAAGTACTTACCTCATGTTACCTCAAAATAATGAAGCTTGGTAGATGGCCCATGATGGCCACATGGAAGCTCATCAGATTGCCTCCTCAAAAACGACTCAATACGAATGATTGACACTTCAAAGATACGGAGGATATATCTTACTGATTAACAATTCTTCTTTGCAGAGGAAGATGATGATCTTGTGTAAGTCACAAACATTCTTGAGATTTCTTCACGTCAGGACCCAGGCAACATGGCCCCTCCAAAACCTGTATTTGTTGGGGTCAAAAGGATTGTTCCGATGTTTTTCCCCATGTTTCCCATGAACGTTCCCATGTTTTCCCACTCAATAAGAAGCAGTGCAAAACGTTTGAACTGTTATTTTTCCAGGGACATGGCTCGCTTGGGGGCGACATGGCTCGCATGGCGCGGCCGCCTCCCAGGCGCTCGACGAATGCCGCCCTGAGCTGAGACCGTTTGGGGCGTGGTGCGTCGGTGTTTTCATCCTGAGGTCTGACCAGCGTTCAGCGTTCTTTGATATGTTCAATTAATATGAAGTATATAAATTATATAGTTATTTTCAAGTATATTATGTCTATAAGGAGTTATAATGTTACTGATATCGATATGTTCAATTCATTCATGTATATTGGTGTCCGTCGCGATCTATGGCGTCTCGTGGCCGTGTTCGGTGTCAATGGTGTGATGTCAACGTGTATGGGACGCCATGTGTTGTGGCCGCATGTTTTGTGTGCGGCACCCCTTCATGGACCATGAAAAGAAGGATTCAGAGTCCATACTCAGCTGTACTTCAACGGATCCGCTGTACTTCAACCTTCAGGACTTGATCATTTGCTGCAATGCTCTTCTTCGTGTGGGCTGGAAGTCCCCCATCTATGAGGACCCACGCTACTGCTCGACCGACCGGCGGACACCCCAAAATGACCCGCTCGAACCGCGTTGCTCCTACCCAGGTGAGGGGCGGTTTATATGTTTTTGCTTTATACACGGTGTATAAGATTTTTATACTAATTATATAAGTCACAAATATATATATATATATATATTCACATATATATATATATATACAGTACATAGATACTTATATATATAATCTGTTTGTGTATAATATATATATATATATTATAATTCTTATATATATATATACACTTAAAAGCAACATGACACTTCGATTTGAGACAAGAGTTCTGGATTTTCCAAAGGATGATGCATCGGAGGGTCCCAGGCTGTGTGTCCTGTTGGCCCATAAGTGTAGTCGCCATGTGACACATGGCAGTGGGTTGAAACCGAACCATTCCGGTTGGTTGGGGAAACCGGGGCAGGATGTTGCCATGAGGTACTCACAGCTGCGATGGTTCGGGTCGGACGGTCCACAGGAGATCCTTCGCACTGTGGCCGGACGTGTGAGCGAGCTGAAGGCCTTTGAGGCGAAAAGCGCGTTGACCGAGCCGTTTCGACGTTTGGGACGACGGACGGACATGGGGTGTTTCTGAGAAGCTATACTGTATTGGTGCCCATTTTTGTGGGTACACAGAAGGGTTCAACATGTTCATGGTTGATTCTCCAGGTTTCTATATTTATAGAATACATATAATTTTATCATATAATTGACTTTGATGTGTCCCTTTACCAATAGCCCGGGAGGGGTGCCCATTTCTGGGCTGTACCCAACTACTGTGATTGGATGCATGAAGACTAACTTCAATTGACATGGAACGCCTCTTACACAAATTTGTGCTCAAGAGTATGCAAGAAGAAGAGCTGTTTGGATGTGGAGCAGGCTAGGATTGCAGAACAATGGATAGCCTGATTGCTCGATCTCCCCACTGGTGAAGCTGAGACGTACGGGAAGAAGAGCAGCATTGGAGACCACTCAGACGTACAGAGACCATGAACAGTTACACTCCCGAAAACTAACATGGAACCTGAACATGGACCTTTGGAAGACTATTGTCCTCGACAACCCAGTGGTTTTAAGGTTCCATGTAGGTTTTTGCCGGGTGTAGGTATGCTAGATGACCACGCCAGGATTTTTGTTTCATGACGACGCTCTTATCCTCAGATGGCGGTTAGAACATGCTACTAAGATCTACTAACAATCTTCTCAGGAGGTAGTTAGAGGTGTAGGGTCTTACAAACGACCGGTTCTTGAGTTAAGACATATTTGTCGTTTTGCAACTTTTTTTTGCATTTTCAGACAACACAGATGTGCCTCAGAGCTGCCTCTGTGCTTTGTGGGCCGCAAAGCTTCATCTCAAGCATCTTGGAGCAGCCTTTTACTTTTTGAGCATGTACTCGTACTGTATGGTTCTATGGGGTGTAGCCCATTACCGGAAACTGTACTGTTACCGGAAGAAGATTCTCACTAGTTTTGGGAATGGCCTTTACTATATAACCATCATCATCAGATATACCAATATTTTACACACCAATATTGTGAATCATGCAACTTTCTTTTGTTTTGGAAGCTTGAAATGTCAGCCTCCACAAGGGGAGTTACTCAGCACTGGTGCAGGTCCCGGTCAGGACTCCAATAACACCACAGACCACTGGAAGTTTGAGTGGAAGTGTCCTGCGTTGCAGCTGCTGTCAGCTGTTGCCGTCAGCAGTGTTGTGCCGAAAGAATTGAAGAACAAGCACTTCAGGTCTTTGACAGAGATGCAAAATGCAAACACCTGGAACCCCCCCTTTAGAGAAACCTTTGTTTTGCGGATCAGGTGATGTTAATTGACATCCCCTTATATAATGGCAAATTAGGGTCTTCCCAGTTGGACCCAAATCCCAGAAAGGTGGGGCCAGAGATGCCAGAACCGAAGAGAAACGCACATGCCCCGTCCGAGTGTTGGGAGCGCGGTTTGCACGGAGCTTCAAACAGTTTCCTCGGAACCACCTCTTTCGGATCGGCCTCAGTCGACGTGATTGAACATGTTGGATTCTGGTTGTTTTTTCCCCACCTGCCAGGTGAGGGTTGTTAGATTTTATGTTAGCTGACTTCTCCTTCTCCTCCTCCTCCTCCTTCTTCTCCTCCTCGCCGGACCTCAACCACGACCATCCACGCCCAGTGTTCCCTGCCGGACCTCAACTACGACCATCCACGCCGAGTGTTCCCTGCCGGACCTCAACCACGACCATCCACGGCCAGTGTTCTCTGCCGGACCGCAACCATGACCATCCACGCCCAGTGTTCCCTGCCGGACCTCAACTACGACCATCCACGCCCAGTGTTCCCTGCCGGACGTCAACCACGACCATCCACGCCCAGTGTTCCCTGCCGGACCTCAACCACGATCATCCACGCCCAGTGTTCCCTGCCGGACCCCAACGCCCCTGTCAAAAGCCATGCCAGATAGAATGTCAAGAGCTATGCCAGCTAGAATGTCAGAAACCCTGCGTGATGGTGAGTCATTCAAACATGCATGAATATATGGAACAAAGAGTGTCAGAAGAAGGTTAGAAAGAATGTCAGACAAGTATGTGATATACTAGGTGCAAACTCTGATATGTGTCTAGGACAGTAGCGGGGCAATGTCAGTTTTCATTTTGTGGGCGTTGCGAAGCTTCAGACAAAAGTGGAGTCAACAAGCTGTTTTGAAATGTCATGGTGGGGATCACTCGATTTAAAGTAATTTTTGTTTTTGTTTCATATCATATGTGCTTAGACTCTGAGAAAGTACAACTGTCCTACAAGAATCTATTAAACGTATTTGCCTGCTGTAGACTTTCAGAAAGTACACTGATTCAGCCAAGGCATTGGCCGAAGACATGGGCTACTGCCGTTTCTCCCGTCAAGGAGTGTTTATTTTGGAGCGTTGCTTTCAGCGGGAGCAGAGCAGAGTGGCGGCTTCGGCTGAAAAGAATCCACCAGCTTTGTGGTAAAGTGTACGGATGTCGGGTATGTGGTGAGGTTTGTATATAGAGGATCACAGATCCACACATATATAATATATATATAATATATCACAAACTCATTCAGTCACGTGTTACATGGGTCGTGTTGCACAAACAAGAACCTCCCACGGGTCGTATTTTCCATGGGGACAGAGTCCCTGTCCAGGTGTTGATGCCTATGGTCCATGTGGCGAACAAAGAGTTCTTCACCTCAACCTTGCGTAGCCACCTGGATTGGAATCGGTATGAGCTCGGATGAGCACGTCATGCCTTTGTCCCCATTTGATCAGATGCTTTCTCATTGCCCCCACCGAACGATGCTGTATACCACCGAACGGCCCTTCTCTCACTAAGGCGAACGGTTTCACCACTTCGACGCGTATACCATGAGGGTCATGTTGGATGCTCGGCAGCTTGGTATGAAAGCGACGTTTCGGGCCCCAGGGACGGTCGAAACACACCTGTTGCGCGCCCGCCGAGGCCAAAACCAGATGAAATCAGTCAAAAGGAAGGATATTGTGCACCAGGAATGACCAGAAATCAAGAGATTGATCAATGAATCAATGAAGGATTTGTTCCTGATTTTTCGCTATGCCTGTCAATGTCCCCTGCAAGTTGTCTTTTCTCATAGAGTGTGCCAGGATTTGTGCAAGGGTTGGCCTACTCGGTGGACCGAGAAGCGAAGACAAAGGATCTGGTTTGAACATATACTGTAATTATGTTTCACGGCAAATTGAACGTTCCATGGTCATTGAACAATTCTTTTGTGAGTCGACGAGCTTTGACACAAAACTGAACATCGTAAAGTTTTTCTCTCAAATAAACGGTGCGTAGTCCTGATACAGATACCCTTTTTGCACAAACAGTTCAAGATGCATGTTTTCCCTTCTCCAACTGTTTGGGGCTGATGCAATTCGAGACTGTTTTTGCTCTTTTGTCATAGCAAACAATCGTGTTAGGTGCAGTCTCACGTTTTTTTAATCCGTTGAGGGTAGTGTCCTCAACGCCCCGTTCGCAAACCGATGAGGATGATGTGGATTTTCCACATTGGCGATTCACTCCATCACTGAGAGAGGCATCTCCAATGGCAGCTGCATTGGAGATGCCAATTGGCCAATCCAACAGTGTTGGGCGGACAGGTTTGGTGGATCATGGGGCACAGATGATAGGGACATCAGCTTCATACCACCATTTGATGATGGATCCCCCCATCAATGATGACAGGCTTAGCCATCGTAGGAGAGCTCACTTTGCCATGGTTGATGGATGGTGAGACGCTTCGCACCCTTGGGCTGGGTCGCGAGTCTGGCGCGAGAGAGATCACAACTTTTCAAGATCTATATAGACAAATCTTGGGGAATGCATCATGCATCACTATGAACATATAATGATTATGCATTGTGTAGCATGGAGATTGGCAATGTTCAGCTTTTCAGGCCAGTGCAGAGGTTGTTTGATTGCATCGTGGGCATGGATGGTTTCTTTTGATGTTCGCCTAGGTGTTGGGTGGTTTGGTTTCGACCCCCACTGGCGACGAACAATGCGCTGTGTCGGAGACTGGGCTGGCCAGAGCTTGTTCTGCAGCCTGAGCCTTTGCGCCTAGTCCATTACCAGTGCTTTTTGGTAGTTTTCAGAGTTGGTTAGACTATACAGTGTCGCAGATTGAATCATGCAACCCATGTTTAGCATTGCCTGGTTTGAAAGGTTGAAATACGCTTGTTTAATTACATAATTTCTGGACTAAAACAAAAAGGCTATGATCTCACTGTTTTCCTTAGCCTTCTCCAATCAATAATTTCGGCACACACACACACACACTTGTACTCGAAGCCAACTTGGGCTGGGTTGTCAGCAGTTGAGGCGTTTCAGTGTCCTTTTTGAGAGGTCCAATGATGTGGAAGATCGCCTGGAGAAGGCACCTGCCAGTGAACAAAACTCAAGTCGTCAATCAACTGCTTCTGGAGATACGGAACAACCTCCGGGGTTGGGCCCGACACCGAAACGCAGAGGTCCACCCGGTTTGGTGGGAACCCCTTTCGGTTGGTGAAGGGGCCTGGATTCGGGGGGTGGCTCGATGTATTGCAGTTGGGTTTCATCGACACGAACGCCTCATGGCAGGTTAGGCATGTCTCATGTCCTCAAGCAAAAAGAAACAAATACTCATAGGTTCACCAGGTCTTGCATCAATCGGTCTTGCATTTCATGAAACGAGAAAGCCTAGATCTCGTGGCCAATCTGAGGAGCTTTGACCCAGCATATACTGTACATGCAAACCACCTTAGCCTGATTGCCTACATGTCCAAAAGTGTCATCTTGTTGCAAGAGATTGCGTTTTGACAAACACTGCCCGCATGCTATATAGTATGTCCAGGTATGTCCATGCATACATCCACCAGGCAACAAAACATGTAAACATGTAATTATGTGTCGAATCATACGAGTCATATGTTTGATCTCACAAAGGAAGGTCCAGGTGTGTTCCAGAGCGAGAACCAATACATCCCGACATCTCTATGTTTGGCAAATGTATACAAATACCCCACTTGACCCGACTACAACGTGTAAACGTCAATGTCATAAACGTAACCGCTGGTCCAGGTGCAGGAATGAGAGCACCGGGAGACCACACCGAAGACCGCGCTTCGTGTGCACAGACTCCACCAGCTTGGTCGAGACGCTGCTCTTCATGGCTACACTGCACCGGCGCGACGCTCGCGCGGAGCGGATGGCCTGGGCCTTGAGCGGAGGGCTTCCGCGGAGGGGATGCGTGCGGCGAAGGGAGTGGGGTGATAGGGGGAGGTGGAGGGAAGAGGGAAGGAAGGGAGTGGGGGCAGAGCGAATATTCTTGCAGTGTTGCTGTGAGTGGCCCTTTGCGATGCATGTGGGTACTGGCGCGTTGGACTGGCTTGCGTAGGTGAATGCTTTGCTGGCTGAGTGGCCAACGACGAAGAGCTTTGCTGTCCCATGGGGATTGGCACACATGTGTTTTGCTTGCATTATCTTGCACTGTGTCCATACGGTAGGGCTCCAACTACCTTCTGAGAGGGTGGGACTGGGGGTGGGAAGGTTTTTTTGATTTTTAATATCATTTGAGGAGCATATACTTGGAACCCTCGAGTCGGTGATGTGGCACGCCTGTGATCCCCACTACCTAGGTTACTTGGCATTCCTAGGATGTTTTTGTTGCTACAGCAAGCGCACAGCCGAGGTCAACAATGTATGTTTGTTTGTTTTTTGTTTTTATTTTCATTTGTAGGTGCATTAAGTGAATAACTACGTGTTTGACATGTGACGCTTCTTTGACACAAGCAATTGTGACCACATCACCTCAACATGACTCAACATACCGTGATTCACTTGAATGCATACCACCTTGATGTGTCAAGGCACTACATTGAGAATCAGCTGCTGGCGGAAGGCTTCTTGACCGAGCTCGTGACAGCTCGACCGGCGTGGTGATCGCGGGCGCAACCGCCCCAGGCCCCCGCGGGCGCATGGGTTTTGGAGTTCTTCTTCTATGTCCTTCCCAAGTGTGCTTAGGGCCTAGGGTATGTATTAGTATTAGGAGACCCTGACGTACGAAGACATGCCAATCCAAAAATTGACCGGGAGGTGCGTTCACTTGAACAGTCCTCCAAGGGAACACAACCCCCGGAACAAGAGCTCAGGCTTCGTTGAACGGGAGGACGGCTACAAGGAGCACCTCGTGGCATGGCCGTGAGGACCAGATATGACGTACACACAGATACGGACAGATGGTGACAGCTTCCTGAGATACACTCCAACGAACACATCGACTGGAAGTGGAAACCACATGAAACCACCCTATTCGTGAAGGAACATAGTCATTCGAGGGTCCATGCCATCCAGGGTCCATGGAAACGTGAGTCGGAGGCTCCGTACTGGCGTTGACTCGGCCACCCGACAAACGCCCTATAGCCAGAGAGTTTGTCCAACACTCGACGAGGTTTGGGCATGTGGTTCTCTTGATGACAGTGGATACCAGGACGTACCACATAGTACCACGAGTAGCCTCCGGCGACGATGGAGATTGGATGATGTTGGGATGACCGACCGGATTCTGAGTTTGGCAGGTCCGAAAGTCCTTGCCAGAACCTGGTGCTGCCGTGACTGCCGTTTTCAGAGCATCAAGCGTGGAAGAAGAAGCATGAACAACATATCAAGAAGATCAAGAAGAGGGACCCTTACATAAACGGTTTTTTGATAAACTGTTTGATCCGTTTTGGTGTTCATTCATGCACCTGGCTGTGACCATTACATTGCTTTCCATCCAAAAACCCACGTGTCGCGCAAGGCCTGTGGCTGGGGTCCAGCTATCACAGTTCATTTGATCCTTGGCAGTTGCGGACTAGGGGTTCTTACGGTAGGGGTTAAGGGCCGGTGTCTAATCAAGGTGTTGCGCCGGGGCGTCTCTATGAGACAACCAAAGGCAAACCTCGAGCAATCCAGATCCAAGAATCCTGACCCTGAAACGCGTGGTTTCGGTCGATCGATGGTCGAAAGGAGCTCCATGTGTGGTCCTCTGCGGAGTGGTCGACCAGTGCTCTCCAAAGTACGGGACTGCAGTCGCAAGGGGGGCCTGAAACAGGCGATAACAGTACAGTAGTGGAAGGAAGAAACGTAGAAAAGCAAAGAACCTGCGAGCTCCTAGCCAGTCTGCTATAGTCATGAAACGCCCAGTCACTGGCTTCTCCCTCATCCTGCAAAACACATAATTGCGCATACACTCCCTGAAATCATGGCTACGTGTCCTCTACAGAACAGGCGGTTTTTCTATGTTCATGATTATGACAGGCTTCCCAAACCGGCGATGCCCTTGGGGGGCACTGCGCGTAAAAACCTCGTCCGCATTTTTAAGCGCCCTCTGAAGTCGCCATGGATGCCGCGTTTGTCCTTTGGACGAAGAGGCGCCGGACTGGCCAAGGGTGAGAAGCTCACTGTGAGGGTGCGAAGGTCACTTGCATGGCAGGGTTTGGTGTTTGTTTTGGTTGCGTGGCTCTTTTGCGGCACTCTCAGCTCTTATGAAGCCTTCAGCAGGCCTCCCACGTAGAAAAATCATGTGTCCGAAATCTTTGCAGGCTGCAAGACGACATGTAAGCGTGGCATCGCACTTTTGAGACCCAAGAGCCCCGGGCCAGGCTTACCCCTGACAAAGCTGAAAAATCTAGGGTGGGGCTCTTGGAAGGTCCCCCCACCCTGAAAGGGTGGAAGGCACTGCATCATTCTGAATCATTCTGTTTGAGTCACCGTTTTGCAGGGGCCATAGCACATGTTGTGACTTCCAGCTGATTCCCGTTGCCGTTTGCAACAGAGATCTGAAGGAGCAGTTCCCAGTTTCAAGAACAAACATTAAACATGTCATTGACTGGTAACAATTTGTTGCTTTGGCACCCGTCTCGTCAAGCATCTGTGTGGGCTGTGGCACAGAGTCTCAACGGGACTGTGTTTTGTTTCAGGGTATGCCCTGGCAGTTGTGTTTGAACCGTACAAATATCAAGATGATAATGATGATGATGATGATGATGATGATGTAGAACTGGTAAACCATGGCCATGGCCAGAACCCTATGCGTTTTTGTTTCTGGAACCCTGCAAGTTCAGCAAAAACCTGGTCGACTAATTATAGTAACATTATAGTATATTATAATCCCATTCATGGGGACCAGGGGTTGCGGTTCCCATGGTCAAGGGACTCCTCAACACATGGGGAAAATGTGTAAGGCTACTTGTTTGTCAGTGTTAAGTTCAATCTGCGTTTGATCCTCATCTTCCGGCGCAGTTTGAATGAGGGATGGTGGGTGATGGAGAGCCTCAAGAAGACAGGTGTGTACATGTGAAACCGTGTGGAACAGAGGCACCAGTGATGTATTGCTGTGTTGTTTTTCCGGTTATCGTCGACATTCTTTGACTGTGTTGGGGTCGTGTATTCTCCGAGAGACACCAGCGTTGGTATCGTATCGTGCCAGTGTTTCCGGCCTAGACAACCACGTATTTAGGTTTTTTTGCGGTGGTCACCCATCAAAGTACATCCACATGTCGCACCATTTTGGAACCAAGGTCTTTGATCACTGATCACTGGAACCGTCGCCGGTCCTGGGGAATCGCTGGACCCTTGTTTAACTATCCACGATGGAATAGTTGTAGCGTAGCTAAGTCCAAGCTAGGTCTGAAGTAAATGTAGTGTTCTTCATCAAACGATTTGTCGCACGGAGACATGCACGCAGTGGACTTCATTGCCGCTGAGAGGAAAGTGTGTCAGAACATGTTGCAGATGTATTCCCTTTAAGACTGAAGGAAGATGTGTCAGAACAACACTTGACAGACATATGCAAATATATTTTGTATTCAAGCAACCGAATGTCACACAGAAACAAATTCTGACAAACACCTCCTTTCAGAATGAGATAGCACGTTTGACTCAACACAAAGGACAGTCGAGAAATTCAATGGGTTCGTCGTGGCACGAAGGCAGCTCTCAGTTCTATCCATGTTTCAATCTCACAAAACACACTTGCCTCTTGGAGAATGTGTATATATATATACAGTTATATATAGTTATATATATATATACACAGAGTTAAGTCCAAACTAAATCTACTGAGCAAGCTAAGTCCACTGAGATAAGTCCATGTTAAGTACTTGCAAAATACCTGGATCCTCCTTTGGGTGGAAAAAGTGCCGGACCTCAATCCGGCCAAATTTTCCGCCGGATTCCGAAAAAAAAACCGGAGACCTGAAAAACATCCGGATCCAAAATTCAGAAAAACAGAGATGATAAAAGGTTGGATCATACACAAGCAAACTGCCTTTGCGCCACGAGTATTTTTTTCTGGAGCACACTCAATCCACAACCCAACACTGGAGCCTTCCCGTTCCCATTGCCCTCGCCCATCTTCCGAATGGCCTAAGACCAGACCCATCACAAAATATAAGCAAACTTGTGCCGAAGCAAAGACTTCCAAGAAGAAACCAAGGAGTATGTGGCAAGGAACCCCTCTTTCTCTGCGACCGTGTCTCTAAAGTTCTTTTACAAAGTGGGTTGCTCTCCATGATTCTTATGTTTTCTAATGTTTCTTTAACGCTAGCCTCAGGACGGCCCCCCCCAATAAAATAGCAGAACTCATGGTTCCTGTCAAAGCTCTTCTTGAAAAACTTTTCAAAATTCAAAACCTTCAGAAGACTGAGTCCAAAAAATTAATTATGCCGGAGTTACGGAAATTACGCCGGAGTTACGACGCGCCATCTTATAGCAACTCGCTGCAAAAGATTTGACATTCTGAACAACACATGTTCCACAGCCCAAAACTTGTCCGGCAGGCTCTGCAAACCTGCGCAGCTAGAACTATATCCCAGCGCCCCGACATCCTGAAACAATGGGAGCACATTTTTGCCTATGTTCTTTCATTAGGTACATCCACTTAGGTGTTTCAACACGTGCATCGCACTGTACCGATTTCATCCGATGTCATTTAGAAGATCACCTAAACGGATCTGATTGATCCAGTGTGAGCCATGATCAAACCGGTGAAATGAGAAACCATCGGAACAGGCAAACGGGCACACTTTGCAAGCAAAATCATTGCATCAGTAGTGGGTTTACCTTTAAAGAAATGCGGACCACAAAGCCTTGAGAATCCACATAAAGTGACTTGAAGAAACTGCCGGACCAAATCCAGAAAAACGCCGGAGTTGGAAGTCCGGCGCCGGACCCTGCAAAAATGCCGGACTGAAGATCTAGGTATTTTAAAGTCCAACTTACGTAGTAGATTCAGCTAAGCTTATTTAAACTAACCTACTTCCTGGCAAGCGACATTAGGGAGTATGGAAGGGTTTGTGCCTGTGAAATGACCACTCAAACAAGGAGGCATGTGCTGGCATATGTCAGATGGCTGAACATGTACATGTACATTCTGGAAACAATTCAACAACACCACATACCACTTCCAAAGAACTGCGTAAAACGGATTGGCAGTTTGATGGCTTTGTGCCACTTTTTCCGTCGATTTTCTGGGCGCTTCGGCGCTTCCGCGCCGCCCAGCGAGGGAATGCGAGGGAGTTGGGTATTCACGAAGTGAGTCAGGGATGCGCCACCAAAAGATACGGGGACGGTATAGAACCATTGTTGGTGCAACAAAACAGCAGAAGTCATTGAAGTCATGTGACATATCTGAGGATCATTCTGACCTGGTGGTGGTTCCTCCACACATTCTTCGAGACCTTGCTGCGGTGGTTTGGTACTGGGCGGATCTATATCCGAATGCCTTTCTACTGCTTGCCTCCCGGCACTTCAGATGAGTGATCCGAGTTCAACTGTGGCTGAAACTAGCTATCCACAAATTTGTGGTTGACTATTACCAGTGAGTTTGGATGGCACTCTCCCCTATTTGTGTGAAGTGAGTGGACAAGTGTTGCCGTGACTCTATTTGACAACAGTTGAAATCCTTATGACAGGGGATGTGTAGATATCATATTGATATTTTACAGTATATACATTGACATGTGTTGGCACTGCTCTGTTTGCCCTCGGAAGATGTTTGCGCACTTTGTTGTTTGCATTCCGCACCCTGTATCCACCAGAGGAGCCGTTATTGTTTAACAAGGAAGTAGGCGTATTCCGTGGCGTTGGGACTACAGTTTGTGCTACTTTAAAATGGTAAGAATGTTGGAGCGTTGAAACCATGATTTGCCTCGAGAGCACTGCTCCAGAGGTTTGGGGTACTGAACACAACATACCTTGACCGACTATACAGCATGCATTGGGTTGTTTGTCCTATGACCTGTAACAGTCGATCAGCACGAACATCACTATTTTAGATAAAGGCCTTTGCTAATCATCATCCACTGTTACTGGAAATGGGATAGACTCGGATAGAATGCATTTGTTATCACATGACACATGATGTATGTATCCCCTCACCTGTGAGGAAAAACGAGGTGATTTGGCAAGCTCATACATCGATTCTTCTTGAATCGACGTGGGTCGTGCCATCCGTTAACCCTTGGCATTGTTGCTGAGCGCTTTGAGGTTTGGGGCGACGTTGCACCTTGGTGCCGAGGAGCCTCGGCGGCAGTGAGTCAAGAGGAAGACCCCCACGTGCGAGACGGTGACCACTTGGGTTTGTAATGGTTTGTATTTTCATGGGGGTACCTCGGTACCTCCATGTACCTCCCAACCATTGGATTTAGTTTGCTTTTTGATTGTCCCAGTGGTCGAACTGTGGGGTTTTCCTGTTCTGATGGACACCCATCTCGGTGCCGTTCCATCGAAGATCACGCGCGGCCGACGAGCCAAATGGCCTACTTCTGAGTGATCATGCTCATGCAGCTGTTGCTGTAAGATGTTTTGCTCCTTTCTGGTCCTGCAACCTGCCGAAACGATCATGTTTCGCATCAAGTTGAGACAGGATGAGTATGTATTGCGAAGGACCCGTTTGTACCAGCTGGTAGGCTCCATCACACCCTTCACAGAAGCGAACGACTGGCGACCCCTTCTGCGAACGAAGAGTGTTGGTTGTTGTGGAGTAATCATTGATTGAGGAGCAAAGCTGCTTTTTGTTCATCGTGAACGCACAATCTGGCCAAAATGATCGACTTAGACTTGGAACCAACAGTTACCAAACAGTAAGCAAAGCAGCTGTTGGTTGTGAACGGCATTAGTTTATCATTCTGCAACATAAGGCAACATACATATTATACAATCAAAACTCCTCGGTTAGAAAGGCCTAGTATGATCCTCATTTTGAGTGTCCCACTCATTGCATCTCCCACAGTCAGGTGCACCAACAAAATGGGATGCCGACTTCCCCTGAAGCGACACACGTGAACACGCGTACTGCGTGCCGCGCCACTGATGTGCAGTCGAAAAGTTGGGATGGAGTTTCTGGCTTAGGACTCTCAATGGGACAACCACCCTTCCCGCAGGGCTTGCGGGGGTTTTGGCCTTGAGAAGTGCTTTCTTCTGCGTTGTAGACAGACATGCCGGGCCGCAGCGTGGGGAGAAACCCATGGACAGAGACACATTCCATGTGGACAACAAATACCAGTTGATTCCGAATTTATTTCACTGTCCAAGCAAGCATGTTGGCGATCATTGTTCTGTACCATTCTCTCCACAGGCATGTTGTTGTGCAGTCCAACCCTTTGTCGAAGGCAGCCTTGCTGGCATCTTGCTTGGCGCGGATGAGGCATGTGATTCAGGAAGAGACCTTCTTCTCAAGAGAAAGCAAAGACACAAGCAGAGACACTTGGAGACGGTCAAGACAGGTTTGGCATAAGTTGGTTTTTACCCCTAAACCAACATGGTGGTGGGGACATCCTTATCCGTTGAAGTGATCTAGTTGTCCCCCCACTTAGCTACCAGGACTCAGAACCACAACTTCTCGTTGCACACGGTTTCACCGGCTTCTCGCCCCCCTGCACTTGGATTCGTAGCTACCCGTGTGCTGCGGCACGTGCCGCCCGGTACGGTACCGTTTGCGCCGGTCCGCCGGTCGTCCTCAGATGTCCATGCGCCGAGTGATGGCGTCAAACCGCTTGGCGCAGTGATGGCGTTCGTATTGACATGCTGTTCAGAAAGCATGCGGTTGGTAGTTTTTTTGTAGTTTGTTGTGTGTTTGTTGTGTGTGTGTGTGTCGTATCATTGTATCATATAACATGTGTGTTTTAGCAACGTGTGTTTGTTTCATGCAATGCATAATTTAGCTTTGTTTTGTGTCATGCTGAAGAACTCTATATGCATGTTCTTTGGCTTTGTTCCATTAGGGATGAGCAAGATGCGCTCACAGATTTATAGCGGGAAGGTTAGTCCGGGCAGTTCTTTTGGGACACTATCCAAACCCCTACAATACCCTATATACATACACCTGATATGGTTTGGTATACCTTCACCATGCTTGCATGACAAAACAATGCAATTCAACAAGGCAGTGAAATTCACTGGTTTGTAATTTGCCCTCCATCATGTCTTGAAATTATTCAAGCTGAGACAGCAACCAAATCAAGGGCAGCACTGGCAGGCATTGACATCCAATAACTTCTGAGATGTCTGCTGCAAGAAAAAGGGGCAGAGTTCAGGGAGACTTTGCAGTCATGAAAACAGTCTACCAACCAATCGATGATGGGACATCCATGGATTATTCATCGTGGTCCGCCAGGTATCATGATCCAGTTCTGCTGAGAGGCTGGGGATATAGAACCCCGGCTGGTTTGTTCTGGTGACGCAGTGGCTGGATCTGGAACAGCATCAGAAAGATGTCAAATTGGTGTGTTCTTCGCATCAGGGGGGCAGTGATGCGCCGTCATTGGGCACAGAGTGTGTTGATTCCAGAAACAGCAACAAGATCAACCAGCTACAGGCTTGGGACGGACTACGCCTATAAATCTATGCATGCGATCGGCCCCTCCCCCTAAGCGATCGGCCATTCGGAATGGATGAGGAATGAGTTGTCTCATCGCAATAGACGCCACAGAAGTAAGGCTCCTGCACCGGCGGTTTTGGACGTTGCTCACGTGACGAGATCTTTGGGGTTCCAGGAGCTCCACACCACACATGGTCTTCAAAAGAGGATGTTCACGGTGTCTTCGTGTCGAATCACCGTCAGTGGATCGCCTGAAAGATGGAATCTTCCATTCTCCACTGGCTTTTCACCCAGGTGTCTCCCTGGTGTGACGGGCAGAGGTGGAACGTATGTGTTTCTCCAGCCGTCCAGGAGCACGTCGAGTGGTCGAGCAGACCGTCTTCGAGGAGCAGACCGTCTTTCGAGACAAAGAGATACCTGGAACCCAGACATGACCATTGTTTTGATAGGAAAAGGCCATATTTGGGGGTGGTTGGTGGTCCGAAATAGAGGTCATTCAGGTTTTAGGTAATACACTTAATCATCCATGTTTACCTTTTACATTGGGATCTTAATCATTTACGTTGGGATCTTCCATCAATCTTCCATCATTTACATTGGGATCGTCCAACTGTACAACATGTTTGCCTTTCATCTATAAAGTCTGCCCAGTTGGCAGAACTTTTTGCATAGTTGGAAGATCTAGGTATATGGAGCGGGGGAGAGTTCGACCAAGGAGACAAACTCCAAGTCAGGCTCCCTGGTGAGTAAATCCTTTCTTCTCAACCGCCCTGGGTGACTGTGTTTGATGAGGGTGGAAGGAATGGGGCAAAGGGTGGGCCCCAGACTTGTGATGTCGCAAAAACAAAAACAAAGCAACCCACAATGTGTGCTTTGGTACAGTGTGTGGCTCTTGAGCTAGTGGAGAACAACTTGCTAGCAACATGGATCATGACCGTGTATATCAATCCTGCTCAAAAGAGCTACGCAGCTGGACCATGGCAAAGACACTGATTCTACTCGGGTTTGAAGACAGGTTACATGCTATTCCTCTTTGGATTTTACAGCAAACACAGGGATTTGGTGTACCGACCCCACGACTCTAAGGGCCTCCGACTCCTCGACGCAGAATGGAATTCCCTGGGGCGTCTCTCCCGGTCCACCGGTTCCGCGTCTCTCCCGGTTCCGCGGCGAAGAGCAGAACGTGAGTTCTCCGCAATGGCTGCGTGTTCTTCCATCTAACTACAGATTCTACAGATTCTACATGGATGATCTGCAATGGCATACTATACAGATCATATCATATCTTCATCCAACGCTTTGATCCGGACCAGCCCCCAGCCGGAAAGCGGAGGCACCGTCGGATCCGGCCACCCTACAGCGCTGTGCCATGCTGCTGGAGGACGGGGCAGTCCCGGGGCAGTTCGTTCGCGGCCGAAGCCTTTGACAGTCAGAACATGTCAGACACCATGTCAGATGGGTGTGCAGGGATTTCACTAAAGAATGCCAACACCTGACCCCTGCCATGGAATCTCATGCGGAATGTGATAAGTTATAACCATTAGCTGCTGCTGCAGGTTGCGTGCTATAGAGAGAATTTCTGAACCACGTGGTAGCCTCACACCTGTCGGCAGAGACTTTGTCCCTTCGAGAAAACCGAAAAGGCGTGTCGTAAAACAGGGAGACACCCAGAGTCACAATTGTTTAGTGGGAAAACAGATCACCAAGCCGTTGACAGGGGGCATCCCGCAATTGAGTTCGACACACTGTGACATGCTCATGTTTTTGAACAAGTGTAATATAATTGTAATATACTATAAACCAGTGTAAACGTGGTTGGAAAAAAGAGAGTGGAACCGCCCGTCCCCAACTTGTTGCATGCACTGCTTTCGGAGCCGTCCGCCGCGGCGGGAGCAACCCGCCGTGGCTCCGTCCGAGGCCTCAGCCGTTCTGGAGCCGCGGCTCCAGTCGCGCGAGGTCGGTCTGGCCAAATGACCAGTGCGGACGAGCTGGTAGAACTGTTGGAATTGGTCATTCCGCGCAGGGGAAACTTTTGTTTTTTTCGCTTTTGGCAGGGGTCCAGGGGTCTCGGCCAATCCTTGTCGTAGGTGTTGAAAATCCAGCACTTGATCGCTGCGTGTTTGGAATTGGAGTCCGTTTGGTCACGCATGCTTTGGTCAGACCTGACTTTGACTGCGCGGCCCTCAGTTTCTTTGGGAACATTTTGGGAACGAGTCTTTAGGCCAGCTAAACACTAGGGAAGGAAGTGACACAAATGTTCTTTTGAGTTCTAGCAAATTGATGGTTGGGTGTTGTGTTTTTGTAAGTTCAACCTTCTCGGAATGATTTGGTCCGACTGACTCATACTGATACTTATGTTGTTGTTTTCAGTTGAAAGCACCAACCAGATGGGGATGGACTGAGAAGACCGTGACATGGCAAAACCGTTGCGCCGGGCAGTGACTCGGCGTGGACGGGCGTAGACATCGTCGCGCACCGTAGGTTGCCAGATGTTGAAAGCACAGAACTAGAGGAAACAAATCACCTGCCCACGGTAAACCACAGTAAACCCATGTAAACCCTACAGTAATTTCCATGTTCTCTCCTCTTTGTTTTCTTCCTCAGTGGTACAAACCAACGACGCGTGTTCCCAACGACGCGAGTTCGCTTTCCTGCAGGCCCTGGTCCAAACGGTGGTCACGACCCTCCGGAGCCGGTCGCTGGCTTGGCTCCCGGGTCCCGAGGGAGAATGGGAAGAGGCGCATTCGCCGCAACCAATGGAACTGGCGCAGCACCGTGACGTCCGGTGTCACCGCCCGCACCACGATGCCTTGGCGCCTGACCCATTCATGGACCCATCATCACGGAGGACAAACAATTCTAAAAGAAGGGGCCCGGGGCCCGGGGCAGATCATTTTGTTGGACAGTTTTCACATGGTTTTTCATGTTTTTTCAACATCTACAGTGACTCGGTGATGACCATCCGTCTCCGAGTGGTCGCCATCTCCGCAAAGAGGGACACGGCAGGTCGTGCTTTCGTTTTGAGCCTTGAAGCTGCTTAGAGTGTTGGTCTTACCTGGATCATCCTGCTTGGGTCACCTTGCTAGACTACCCTACACTACCATGGACCTCCAGACAGGTCTCCCAGACGATGCTGGTAGATGATGTTTGGAGTTCTTTTTGGACGTCAGTCTTGCCCGAATGGTGAGTTATGGTGAGCTCTTGACCCCAAATCTCCAAGAGAGCATCTCCCACCATCTCCATCCACCTTGCATCTCCAAAGGAAAAGATACTCAACCTCGTGGATTAAAAAAAACGTCCACACCAGGTTGAACACCACCCCATGGGACCTTTGGGAATCACCACCCCATGGACCCCCCGCTGGTCAACCATTCCGCTCCGGACGAGCTCGGCTCCAGGTGCAACGAAGAGGTGGACGCCCCTCCGGTGCGGCGGCACGGCATGTGGGTCTTCCCACCAGGGACCGACTGGTTGAGCGGGTTTGGCCTAAGAAAACGAATCCAAGGGGGACGAAAGCTAGGCATTTTATACCCCTGCTGCTGCAGACCTGTTCTAAAGTTGTGAAAACGAAGTTAGACCACTGGATAAGAAGGTCAAGCTACCAGGGTCGTTGAAACGGGCGAAGCGGGTCACCCATGACCACCATGACGGAGTCCTGTCGATCGCTGCGGGAGGAGATCGACAGGGTCCCCGGCCGTCCCTTTCAAACATGTTCAGACATGGTGGACCTGCTTGTGGAGTAAAAAACCCTTATATATATAATTAATCCGGTCCACCTAATAAAAAACACGTACCCCCCCCCCCTAATAAGGAAACCTCGGTCGCATTTTTTCTAATAGGGGGTCCCTGAAATCGGGGGGCCCAAAATAGGGTCACCTGGGAAGAGCTTCAAAACCAAAAAGTAAATCAGTAAAGTTTTATATAAAATCCTTTATTAAACTCGTATCAAAAATGCAAAAAAGCTCCAGATCGAAGGGTCTTCCTTTTCCCCTACAAAAACCTTCATTAGAATAGTGATTCTTCAGTAGACTAACAGCTAAAGCTTTCGAAAGGTGATGTCGCTGTGCCATGCGGTGTTGCATGACCTCGGTGGCAAGTGCGTTTGCGTGAGTCCGTGCCATTGGGGGAAGGAAAGCCTGCTGGTGTAAGCGCGGCGTGTCATGGTGGATAGACAGGGCGGACAGAGGTGGGCAGTTACGGTTGTTTTTGGAACCTAATAAAAAAAACTCCTCCAAAGTCGGCAATGTTGGTAGTTTAGTAGCGGCTTGAAAGGGCGGTAATTTAAAAACAAGTATAAACCGTATTTAGGGGGATCCGGCATGACTTTTTTTTTAATAGGGGTCCGTTTTTTAATAGGTACTCGGGATTAATGCAATCGTCGAATTAATCAACGGCCCCCCCGTTCAAGGTCAACAAGGTTTGAGATTGGAGGTATTGGAGACCACATCCCCCTAATAAAGGTGATGACCTGATGATGGATGGTGGTTGATAGGATATGATAGGATTCTGAGGATTCTGTGTGAACACTGATGCCTGTGTAATGGGTACCCTTTGTGAGCTTGAAAACCATATTTTAACACGGGAACATGCAACAATTTCGCTAGAGAGGTTTTTTAGGATTATGGAACAATTGCTTGGGAGATGATTGGCAGCCTTGATTGCAGCTTTAAACACCTTTGAACAATATCATATACCAATGAACATCCATGAACCATTGTTATTTTTCTGGGGGCAATTGGGCTTGATTAATAGGGGAAGGTTTCTGCCAAGAAAAAGGATTGGGGGATGTCAATCTGAAAATTTTGGATTTAAATTAGTTTAGTATTGGGGCTCGAGCTGGGCTTGATTAATGAGGAAGGTTCATAAATCCAAAAAGGTCCGCAGCATTATATAGTAAAAACGATTGTTGTGCGGCAATATCCATTGGAAATGAATGGTGGATAGAATGCTAGGGACATGGTCTACGCATCATTTTGGCCATGTCCTTATTCCACTTGGCTGATCGACTGTCGCTCATCATGGCTGTTCTCAGTCCCTTGGTACAGTTCCCACATCTTCGATACCTTCACGCACCTTCTTACAGCATCTTACAGCCAGATATGTAGGGTGTAGCCCATAGTAACAGTCGGTAAAACATTATCACTATTTTTGAGAAAGGCCTTTGCTAACCATCATCATCCACTGTTACTGGATAGACCCAACATATATGTGTCATGTCTCATTCCGGGGCCGTCCCGTCGGTGGACGCCTGGCCTCAATTCTTCTACGAGTCTACTTGGCATTTTGGGGCGAAATAATGGAGGCGACTGTCAGGGTTCAACAGTTGATACTAGACAACCATACAAGAAGATGGAAGAAGTCCATAATTTGACTGGAAAACCTTCTCTCCAAGGGCCTTATCTCTGTATCCGCTTCCGGATGGGGAACAAACGCATTCTCATTCTGTAAGAGTGTTGTCACTGTCAACAAAGACACTTTGTAAGAAAGGTATGATATGAATATTTAGGACTCACAAATGTGGCTAGGTTGCGCATCATCATTTTGTAAGAAGCTTGCAACCACTTTCCAGTGTCATTTTGTAAGGAATTAGTGCCCTGTGAGATTTGAATAGGATTGAATAGGCTGGGATGGTAATCATGGTTGTCGTCGGTCTGGGTAGCTAGTTGGCTTAACTTGTTGGATCCTGCTTGTATGCCACAGGTATTGGTGAAGTCGGCAGTGCGGGCTGTTCGGGACTGACCTTTTCGTTACAGAAAGGGGGTCTGAATAGGCTTGGATCCAATCAGTGTGGCTGGCAGAGAGCGCTACTTCAGGAACCAGCAGCAGGCCCGAAAACAAAATGGAATGTTTGGGCGTTTTTGGCATGCGTTTTGGGCCCAAAATCCACATTGAACAGTGAATTCCTTATAACACTGTTGCCGGGCATGACCCCTGGACATGTCTATATATAGCTCTCTACAAATTGAGATGGCATCTCCAGGGGCCCTTTGTGCCTAGACCTACTCCTTTTGTAAGGCTGAGGGTATACCCCTTTGCTCCAAAAACCCTACAACAGGGGTCTGGACCCGTTAGGGTACATTGCAATGGGGATGGTTCAATTGTTTTACCAAGGATTTTAGACTACTAAGCCGGGTCAAACACATGTCTTCCCAACACCTTCCACGTGTTTCTTCTCCCAACACCGCCTCATAAGACCTCCTTCCCGCCGTTTCTTCCCGCTCGAATCCACCGAAAACATCGCCCTCTCCCAGGTCTTGCACCGCTCCTTGCTGAGTTTGCTGCGCGCGGAGCTGGCCTCCCAGGCCGGGAACGAAGCCTCGGGAACCGTCGGTCCAGAACAGACGTGTCCGGCGGGAGCGGGCGGCATTGGAGCTTCCAGAAACGGAGCGCGGAGCGCTGAGAGGGAGCGCCAAGGGACAGTTTGGGGTGGGTGAAGTCCGACTGTCCTAAGGCGTACGACCCTTAGACCCTTGGTCCTTTTGGTTTAAATGGATCTTTTTAGTAAACCACTAAAGGTTATATAAACCATGTTAAACTTTTTAGCAAGGGACCTATGAACAGCCTAGGAAGGATGTGTGAGGCTTGGGCAGAATGTTCATCAGTTTCTGGTCCAAATTTTGGGTTTGAACACTTTCTGGAACTGATGGCCAAGAACACAACTATAGCGCGACTTGCGGTCCCAGTCCGTCACGGCCAGAATTAGGCGGTGAAGTCGGAGGGGAATCATTGTCCCGTCGCGCCCCGTCTCATCAGAACACAACTATAGTGCTTTGTAGAGCATGTTGGATGAGAGAAAACGATGTACATCACGACTCCCAGGATTCTTTTCACCTGGAGGCTCAAAAATTAGATCGATTGATGGACAGGGCACCGATGGGAGTCCACACGGTGCCCAGTTCGGTTCTGTACTTGCGTCGCTTCATTTGGTTTCACCGGATGAAGTTTAGAATGTTTGCACCTTGGCATCCCATTCGATCGAGGCGTCGAGCACCATGTCGATGCGTTGAGTCATTTCTTCTCGTGCGTCGATGTGCCAGGAGGAGCCATCAGAGCTGATGCAGATTGTGGCGGAATACTTGGCAGGTGAGCGACGGATAGATCATGATAGTAAACAGATTCTTGACATAGACGACTCACTAACATGGAAGTGGAACATGGACACTTGGAAGACTACCTGGACTCTAAAAGTTCAATAGAGAATGGGTCTTGAACGGGTACAAGTACCTGTTTCTTTTATGGGGTCATGTCCCATTTTCTAAGGTTCAAGTGCTTTCTTTCAGGAACAGGTTATCCACTTCCGTGTGATGTGCTCTTCGGAGTTTAGGACGTGTGTATGTGGTTGGGACTTGCGATCTGGGGAGATTTGGGGTATTTTCATTGAGGCTTTAGTAGGTTGGAGGCCATCGCTATGAGGTTAGAGGCCATTGCTATTAGGTTGGAGGCCATTGCTTGTACGCCTAGGACGTTCTTTCATTGCTTGTCCTGGCTTGTTGTTGGAGGAGCACCGATTCACAGATCACCCGTTGTTTTTGGTTTTTGAGCTAGCTTCTACTGAATCTTCCTAGGGCTGCACTCCTAGGGCTCTACATTATAGTATTCTCCTGCAACCACCGGAGGTTTAAGGCTGGTCTTTTCTTGCAGTTTGCATTACCAGATTTCTTTGGAACACCGCAGTGTGAAGCTGGCGAAGTCTTGCACTGCCTTCAAAATGGATGTCCGTTTGAAGTACCGTGATGCTATGAGAATATTGGGAAGACTTTGGAGTCACACTTAAGACTTGTAGTGGCCAAGAGTCAACTTCCAGGTGTTTGGCCCATCCCTTCACATGGCGTTTTGGTCTTTTCTGGGTGGTGTTTATCCGAATGTGACACCTCAGAGATGTTCAACCTTCTCTTGGACTTGGGAGGATTGGTCCCACCGAATGTGACGACCGGACTCGTGGATGGCACCGTGAAACGACGCCAGTGGAGCGATGCCTGTGGCCGGTGCATTCGCTGGGATCTGTGGCCACCGCCCTCCAGCGATGGGGCCCCTCGGCGGGTGGCGCGATGGGGCGCGATGGCGAGGGAGCGAGGAGCGAAGCGAAGCGAGCGAAGGGGGCCATCCGAGGTCTCAGATCAAATAACATTTCACTATATAATTCCCTTTCAGAATCCTCAGAACACTCCAGGGAAGCCTAAACCCTCCCAAGGGTCTCCTCAAAAGCCTAGAGACAAGTGTTTGATTCGGCAAGTGAAGGGTCTGGGGAGCGCAGGACGAACCTTGTGATGGTTGGAACTGGCTGAGGGTATGGCTGATTTGCCCATGGCTTAATCGAGTTTCACACACTAAGCAAACCCCAACAAGGTCAACAACGCCCACGGGGGTCAAAGCCTCATTTGTCACACCGAAAATGTGCGTTCTCATGTCAGTGTCAGTGCATCAAGACAATGACATGATACTGGTAAACCAATGACATGGAATCAGGCTGACCTCTTCTTCCAGTTGGTGAGTACTGTACCGGTCACTTCTGAACCACCCCTATACATGAGCCAGCCTTAGAGGTTGGCTAGACTTTCTCGCCATGATAAATGTTGATTGAGAACCTATAGTCATCTTCATATAAATGTATGATATCATTGTAATTTTATTGTATGCTCAATTTCTACACTGACACGTGAAAACACCCAAACAACCTCAGAAACAAATGGATGTTTCCCCAAACAACCACCACTGGTTGGGACTGGGTTTCCAGGCACCTATTATTGCAAACATTTCAGAAGCTTGTTGAGGCACACAACTGCAACGCTCTCTCACTCCGTCACGTCACTCTCGCAGTTGAAAGTGATGAGGCCGGCAATGTCCAGCTATGCCACAAGTCGCTACTGGCTTACTTCGAGTCCTCCAACGGTTCCTTGGCTTTGTGGGCTGCTTGTTTAATCCTTCAAGCTGGCAGAAAGACTTGTTCAATGCTTTAAGCTGTCAGACAGACTTTGAAGATGATTTGGGTGATTGCATCACAAGGGCTCTTGAAAAGACTCAATCAAGAATGGATTGAATATGTTTGATCTCCATCATTATAAGGAGTGCATCATTGAAAATTGATTCGAGCTCAATCGAGTTTGGTGGAAGTGCCAAAAACAGATGTTCAAGGACTAACAAGTTGTCCTTGTGTCATCCGAGCATACTGCGAGCATACTGTAGTGTAGGGGTAGAAAGGCATCGCAGTATCCAAATACATTAATATATATATATATATGGTACACCCCCCCAAAACCTACCTTTTAGACAAGTTCATGTTTGGAGATGATAGTCTATCAGTCCATTGAAAGGGGAATCTATATATATATATTTCAGAAAAGGACGTTATGCGGGTGTGTGTTTTCCAGGGTTCTCGAAAATGCTTGTTTTAGGACTTTGCATGTTGAATGTGTTCAGACGTTGAGAACGAGACCTCGTAGGTGTTGTTAGGTGCTCGTTGTTTGCTCGTGAGTAGTAGTCTTCCTAGTTCACTGGATCTGAGGGGGGGGGTCGGCAAAAAATAACAAAAAAGTTTGCTTTTTGGTGGTATCATTGTTTTTTCGCCGCCCCCCCCCCCCCCCGAGGAACTACCCTGCCGAGGAACTACAGGCACTACCTGTAGGTCATCAAGCTCCCGCAGGTCACAGGGTGAATGGCATGAAGCTCCCACAGGTCACAGGGTGATTGGCATCAAGGTCCCACAGCTCACCGGTCGAATGGCATTATCATCACCATTGCATTTGCATTGCCATCACCATTTGCACTACCATTGTCGCAGGAATTGGCATTGCCATTGTGATCCCTATTGCCACAGGTCGAGGGTGAACGGCATCAAGCTCCCACTCTCACAGGTCACAGGGTGCATAGCTCCCACAGGGAAAACTGCGTTACGGTGAAAGGCATCAATGTCCGACATACCGTTGCCACAGGTCAAGGGTGAATGACCATTAACAGTACCATTAGCATTGCCATGAGCACTACCATTGCTATTAGCATCAACATCAAGCTTCCACAGGTCACAGGGAAACGGCATTATGGTGAATGGCATCCAGGTCGCACATAGCATTGCCACAGGTCAAGGGTGAATAGCAGTACTATTTGCAATGCCATGAGCATTACCATTGCTATGCTTTTGAACTTGTGTTCTGAAATCTCACCAAATCATTGCAAATACCAGTGCAATTGCCTAAAAGGTAGGTTTTTGGGGGGGGGTGTAGCATATATATATATATATGTACGTAAATATTATTTGCACTAGAATACTGTAGTGTTTCAACTATTTTACTTGCACAAAAAAATAGCAGTGCAAGCAGCCAACTTTGATGCCAGGAGACTCTCTCGGCCACAGCATAGAGGCGGCAGACGAGCGATGTTTGGCTGTAAAAGGTTCAAGAATCTTAAAAACTGGACTTAACTGGCAACTCACCAGAATAGATACTCTCACTCCGTTTGTCTTCTCTTTGGAACTATAAATTCCGTGCACCGGAGCTTTCACCAGGCATTTCCCCAGAGCTCCTGCTGAAATGCCTGGGCGCAGCTTTACCGCTCGCTCCAGAGCACAGGCACAGAACCATCCGTTGTTCCGGATCAACGATTTCTGCATCCGAACTGGAATTGTCGAACATCGAAGATCCATAGCCAGACCATCGATATGTTTTGTGTTTTTTGAGGAGTAGCATGGGTGGGGTATGTGTATGCAGCTCTTCCATGGGTGCTTTTTGGGATGAAAGATTGGGCGCCGCGGCGCCACGCTGTTCGGAGACGTTGTTTTTTGTGTTATGATTTATTTGAATACCGAACTAATATACCATGTTACCATTGAATGCATCGCAATCCAGTCTTTGTTTTTTTTCCTGGGTGACTCATCATCGGTGGGTCTTTCTTCATCCCAAAAACTGCCGGTCGAAGCCGTTGTCGAAGTGCAGTCGTCGAAGGCATGGGTGGTACGACTTCCAGCTGCAGCAGATCTTAAAGCAGCTACTGCCAAAAGCAGCCGACTTACGCCCAGGCACGGGCATATTGAAGCACAGGAAGGGTGATGGCCCCCCCAAAAATGTTTGAATCCCCGAAATCCGGCAGTCCTTGTTCTTGACCCTGTCATTTCATCTCTTCTATGTGAATCATCTCAAAGTGTTTCTTCTGGAAGAATGTAGATGGTTGATCTTCTTTCAAACCTCCATGAATGAAGAACTTCTACATGGTTTTACAGTCCAAATGGATCCAAATAGTTTCACCAAACCTGTGAAACCCCCCTTTCGTCCCTCTGTCTAGGAGGCGTTGGATTGTCCTTTCACCGGAATTCTTGGCCCACCAAGCCGCCTCGGTCGAGGACCACCTCGCGGGTCGGTTCGGCTACCTTCAGGTCAGCTGGTGGCGTTGGTGGAGCTTTCGGGCATGGCCTGGGAAGGACCGGAACCACGGTCCAAAAGACCGAGGGTAACGAAGGGTTCGTGTTTTCAGCCGGCCCTAGGGGAGTTTGTTTGAAATGGAGCCCCTCAAGCGGTGGTTGGTTCGTTAAGTTCAACGCATCTTTGGATTCTTGGGGGCAAGAAAAGATGGCTTGAAACGTTCCCACCACAGCTGATTATTTACCGGTTGACTCACTGCATGTGAAATGAATTCTTGGCCTTCCATGGCAACTTTTGCCTCATCTCGCACGGATCCTCTTCCGCCTAATCCATGCGGCGTGGCCTACAATCCTCTTGCCATTTGGTGGGTCGGCTCTAAAATCCGTGACCTCACTCTGTCTTACTTAACCCCACCTACCATGTCGAGGGACCAAGTTCGCCGCTGCCAGAACTGAAATCAATGTTCAATGCAGTTTGTGAGACGGAGTGGCATTCTTGAATGCAATGTTTGTGGGCCCGGTGTTGGTGCCACTGTTGTGCAGGCTCCAATTTGCAAGCAAGAACCAACACACATGATTGAATCCAGTTCAAACCCAGTTGTTCAAACACACCTGCTTGCCTCCAATGAAGATATTGTTTCACTGTGCTGAATACAATTGCTTAACAAAAACGAAAGGGTGGTGTTCAAAAAGGGCACAGCTTTCAGATAGAATCCGAGTGCGTTAAGTACAAACATTTGCACCTAAATGCCACCAAATGTCATTTGCATACAAGCGGGTGCGAGGTAGAATGCTTCTGAATCCTGCGTGTCAAGTTGCCAGAATGCTCCCACTGGCAGGAAGATCCTTTGCATTGCAGACATGGTATGCATGCGTCTTCTAAACAGGAAGCTGTTTAACACACACACACACACACCAAACAATGGTGTTTTGGTGTTGTGATGTCATGTCGTGTGTGTGTGTGTGTGTGTGTGTCCACCCCTGGACAAAGGGTCTTCCACCACCACTCTT